TTAATAAATTATGTGCGCGCAAGCAACTGCAGCTATGCTAGTTTATATGTACGGAAGTCAGTAACCTTCATATAAATGAGTATTTGCCCCTAAAAGTTATTGCTATGAAAAGAAGGTACTTCTCCTCAGGAAAAAATGCGTGAGGGGGAGTATCTGCTCACTCTCACACTGGACAGATGTTCTTTCCTTTAGAAGAAATCATATTTAAATGATGCTGGCAAAGTTGTCTTTGTTAAAGGGAATATAGGAGAAGGGGTCACTTTGCAGTGACGCATTATTTAGCGTGTTTCCGGGAAAGCAATTTTGAGAATGCTAATGAAAGCTTACGATTGTGCAGCTACTACCAAATTAAAAAGGAGCAACTGTGAAGTTCAGAAAAACTTGGAAAATTTGAAAGTACATAGGAGACAGTCAGGCAACAAGCAGCAGGGTTCTGAGATGAACCTCATACACTATACGATGACACCGTATGTATCTAGGACAACATTAGTCTGAAAAAATATCAGTCCGAAAAATACTCTTATTCTTACTTTTAAGACTTATATTCAAACACAATGCTTCACATACCCAGAGCTATTTCATACTATTACTTGTTAAAGAGATTGAGCAGGTGAAAGAATTAGGCCGCTTCAACAAGGTTCCGGAACACAGAAAGGACAGCCTTGAAGCATGTAGTAACTCTGGTACACCTACACTGCAAAGCTGCCCAACTAAGGCCAAAAACCTGATTACAAAAGGTGCTGTACAAAGACAAAAGCAAAAATTGGTTCCTGATCATGAGAACTTTTTAATTTAAGAAAAGGGATAACATTGGGGTGGCAAAAGGCAAGGCAACGTTTGATAGAAAACCATCTGAGCCTCTAATTCTGGTTAGGATTCAGAGGCATCACGGCCTTCCAAAGTTTTATAGACACATTTAGAAGGATTGAAGTTGTGAAGATGTAGCAACAACGTTAAAAGGGAAGCTGAGCAGAAGCATAAATCAACCATTTGGCAGGGAAAAAGAAGAAACATTAAAGCTATGGAGGGGTCTTGAACGTGAAGACATACATTTCTTGGATAAAGGAAGGAGGTAAAATAATCAAGGATGAGGGTTAGGAAAATGATCTTAAGAAGCATATTTTGAAAAGATGCAAGACTGCATTAGTAAAGGTCAAATAAAAAGATGTGGCATTAAGCAAAATGTATGTTTAGAATTTTAAGAATTTTACCTTGCAAATATACTGAAAAAAAAAATAATAATCATACCTTCAAAAAACAAAGATATAGCATCCACAACTGAACATGGCTTGCTGCTGAAGTTGGAGCAGTCTCTTTGCCCAAACCATCCAAATGTAGCTGAGGATGCTTCTTTGGGAACAGGAGTAGGTCCCTGCCCTTCACCTTACGCTCCCTGCTGGACAGCTTCGGCCAGCAGGAAAAGGCACGCTCTTGGTGCAGAACAGTTTACATCTTCATAGCTAGAAAAAACTGGTGAAAAACAGTCATTACCGTTAGTATTTCTGTTGCAAGACGCGATTTCCAAGACAGCCACAAACTCGGACCAATGCAACACGCTTCCTTCACACCGTATCAGTTTGTGTGTAGTGAGGATATGACACGCTCTTGGTGGATACAGAGCAAGCTGTTGAGTTTCCTTCCACCTTGACAACTTAGAACAGTAACTCTCACTTTCTGCTCCGAAGACACAAATATTTTCATGACTTAAGGTAACTTGTAGTCAGATGATCTTGATACGTTTATCTTGAAGTAAAACAGCGATGCAAATTCACTCGGTAACAGCCTACCTGCTCTTTAGAAAAACGTGATTAAATCAGCATCACAGACCGAATCAAGTAGATCGCTCTCAGCCATACAGAGTTATTAGTAGCCTTTGATTTGCTCTTTCACATTTCTGAGAAGAGAAGTGTTCTACCTTTGGAGAGCCTCATCCACAAGCTGACGTTATTTACAGAAATAACAGAATCTATTAAAAATACAAATAGCTCTTACCTAAAAGTCTCATTGTAGAAGACGATCTTTCTTCTTTATGAAGTTCATCTGCTCTTAAGATTAAAAATTTCTGGACTACCTCTGCCCATGAGGTCTACTTGATATGATATGGTAAAGCCATGATTTATCATGAATCTCAAGATACATTAGTTTGGTGGGGAGGTGTCTTCTGAGTCCTAACTTGAAAAGTTGAGAGAAATTCGTTTTGTTTGTTTTTAAAAGAAGATATTTATGGCCCCTATGGCTGTAGGGAAGAAAGCCTGAGTGAATATTAAGCACGCAAAACCTACTAAATTAGAAAACTGGAACACAAAGCTGTTAACCAGATGACTTCTGAATGTTTGACAGTGTTGATATTACACAGACATGATCTGTAGAAGTTCTTCCAAATTTAGGATACTTATCATCAGCCATAACTAGTTTTCCACATAAGATTACAGAGTAAGGCGTGCACAGGTATGACTGAGTGTAAATGTTAACACCTCCATGGGTTGACAGATAATCTTAAAGTGAAATGGTAACCAAGGAGTAGTTGGGAACATCAGGTGAGCGTTCGGAGAAAACCACGAACTATTTTCATGACCGTGGGTATTCCCTACTCTCAGTTCCAACAGCTATAGTGTTCTGTACAACAACATATAGAAAAGCGGGACTCGCATGGCGGCTAAGGCAATTTCTTCCCAGAGACACAGAGGTTTGCCAAATGACACAAACAGCTTAATAGTTTTACTTATTTTTATCTGCGTTTGCTCTTAGCACATAATTAATTCTATTTTCAAAATGCATGTTAATTTTGAATAAGATTCCACATGCGGATTGTTAGGGAGGTATTCAGAGCATAATCATGCTCTTCCACACTGAAAAAGGAGTCAGCTGCGGGATGAGGATTCATATTCTCGCCATTGAGAGCTCACGTCTCGGCCCCAGCTGTGCCAGGAGCTAGAGATGCCAACCAAGGACTGCAGAGAATTTTGTTGTGGAGAAGGAGAGAAGGAAACCTGGGGAAGGGAGGGAAGAAGAAAAGCCCAAAGAACTCTTTCAGTTATATGCAAAACACTATAAACATGTACGTCCCTTGCTGCTTAGAAAAAAAAATACACACTTTTAAACATTTTCTTCTTTTTTTCCTCATTAACAAGCTGTAAGTATATACTGAAAGGATATAGTAAAAAAAAAAAAAAATTGAAAACCTGAAGAAGATCCTTTTGGTTTTTAATATTGAAACAAAGACAAGTAGATTATTAGCAAATTGAACAGAATTTTGCTTTGATATTAGTGGGGATCGCACATGTAACTCAGTTCCAAAGATCTGAGTATCTAGGTTTATGCTCTTGAACATCACACCTCCAAGAGGTCAAGATTAATACGTAAGTTACATTGCTTAAGCAGGCACTAAGGCCAGTTAACAGTACTATTCCTATATGTAAGGCGATTTATTATCAACTTATGCAGCAAGCAATCATATAAACTTAGATCAAGACAATAAAGTAAAACTCACTCTGAGGCTGAGAAATTGGCAATGATTTACATTTCCTTGTGAAAACATGGATACTGGCAATTTGCACTGACTGCTGTTCCAAAGTGGGAATGAAGGTTAAGATCAATCTCTCTTACTTATGAGGTAGCAGTAGCTACAGCAGACCTTTGAAGAATCCTTCACTTATACATCTTGCCACTTTTACCGTTAGGAGATCATTTGGATACGGAAATGAGATCACCCTGAGCTAGAACTCACAGTAGGAAGAAGATTCCTTAAAACATCCCCTAGATACATTTTCAGAAGACTGTAAATCCAACTCAAATCTTTTCCACATCTTTGGAAAGAGGATACTGTGTTTACTGGCAAAAACTTGACAGGTTTGATTTAAATCATGAAACGCACATCAAGCCTGACATCACTTCAATTCAAAGTCTATGGCATCCAGAATCATACACAACACATCTGCCTGAAACAGTTAAATCTTCACAGCTGACTCTAATCTTCACGTGGAATATTATGAAAAAATTTGTCATCCAGCAAGATTTTAATTTTTTTTAATAGAAGCTGTGAAACAATTATGTTTTCATTTAAAAATTGCTTAGCTAGAAAACTCAGAGGGAATGAAACCTTTTTCATAATAAAATTAAAATATAAATGGGTAATTATTATTTTATCATTAACAGATAAACTAGTCACTATGCAATTAATGTAAGCCACAGCAGTCTTACATGGACAATTACACTTTTATTGATCCATTAAACCCAGAGTATTTAAATAACATTTTCAAAAGGTTATTATTTACTCTGTAATCATTAACTTAGCTTAGCATGGCACATATATAGCAAAAGTAAATGAAACATCAGTTAACTGCTTAGGAAGAGAGAACAAAGCAATAATATGTGCAATAAATTAACCTGTTACGTGCAAGTTCAGAAACACTGCAGCTTGTTGAAGCTCCTTACTGATGGGGTCAAAGGGAGACAAAAGTCTCCTGGCAAACAGTTGTGGGACACCAAGGAAAGCCATCCGTACAAGCTCTGTTGAAAGCATTGGTACCCTCATAAATCCACTGTATCCTCAGTAAAACAAACCCCCTTAGAAGAATCCTGTGTACCACTTAACCTCATAAAATAAGCCTTCTTTGGTACCTGAATCTTGCATTATATTTGCATTTGAAAGACTTATATGCATACTTCAGACTTCCCATCGATCAGCAGAGACCGAGACCCAACAGCACTGTGCGTCACCTCCTGGATGGCAGTACAACACGTACAAATGGGGAAGGAAGGGAGGTCTATAAAAATGTATAGTGTAACTACTGTTATTAATCTTGGAAAACGCCCATCACTGAAATGTTAGTCTCATTTTAGCATCAAAAATGAGAATTGATTTGCTAATTTGCATGACATCCGTACAGTGTGGTTTTTCACAAGTGGAAGAAAGCCAAGCTGCCCTCAGAGGTGAATGAGGGCAGGTGATGTGTAGAGAAGCAGCGCTACTTATCACTGACAGTACGTGATGGAAGGACTCAAAAGCACTTGCGACGGACAATTGAAGGCCCAGCTTCCTCATACTCACCTTTACTGATCCACATCTGCTGCAAAGTGGACAGAGATGCCAATATCGAACCCCCGATCCAGAGAGAGTATTTGCGTTCTGGCGGTGCAATGATCTAGAAGAGAAGTGCAATCTGTGGTAAATAAAGTGATGAACAGATAACACAGTCAACATCTCTCTGGATGAAATGACTAGGTGAAAAGTCATTCCATCATAGAAGCACAACTCCAATGAAGTAAAGCACCTCAGAGATGGAAAGACTGCCATATTTTGTATTCCACCTCAATTTGATAGAGACGCTATAACGTTACTATGAGCCGACAAATATGGCAGCCCATGAGATATCTGCAGGTGGTCCATAATGCAGCTACCAAAAAATCATAAACAGATATGGAAGAAAATTCAAATTTTGAAATATCAACCTGACTGGCTTGTAAAGAAAGACCACTGTGACAACACCGCACAGAATGGTCTGAGCATCTTAAGGACAAAGGAATTCCATTCTAAAAATAAACTTAAAAAAAAAAAACCACACACAAAAAACCCCAACAAAACATTGAGCTACACTGGCTTTGTGTATCAAACTAAGCACTAGACATAGAGCTAGAAGACCAGTTCCCCCTTAGCCACTGAATTGTGAGAATACCCTGGGTGTAGCCCTGCTTCTGCATGCTCCTATCTCCATTCCGGCCACTCCGTGTCCTGCCCGTTCAGCCTGCTGCCTGAGACAACGGGCCTCTCCATTTCACTACACATTGTCTTGAGTCTAAGCCAAAAGGGTCCTTTCAAACAGCTAACTAGCTACAGACTTTGCACGCCGCTTGGAGTTTCGATTTTTTAGTAAAGAACTCATAAGCGAAACTCCTTTCACCCTTTTCACTGGCGACTTTCACTGACAGCTAAGCCTTGAAGTCCATAATATTCCCAGTATCTTCTCAAATTGTTCATGCCCCCTTAGTATTTACAGCTCCATCCTCTCTACGTTTATCCCTACCTCTCTTGTTGTTCCTGTGGTGTCTTTCAAGTAGCCCTTTTCTCTCTCAACCCCATTTCATTGGGAATCCCACAGGACTCTCTTCCTTAACTGTTATTTCACATTTTCTCAAAATGACCTCATCAACTCCCATGGCTTCAGCAACCATTTTTTTTACCTCTCAAATCCCTTTTTTAATTCTGCTTTGGCTGGTAGGAGAAAAAGAGGTATTAGTTAAGCAGGCTGTCCAAGGCTCTCCTAAGCTCAGGACCTGGAGTGCAAGACATGGACATTCTTTTATGGACATTTTGATTTGTTCATAAAGATCTAATCTTCCAACAAAAGAAGCATTAAATGCAGGTGTTAAAAACTACCTTAATCTTCATAGTACTTGGAGCCAAAGCTGTGATCTCTTCTGCATACGACTGCCAATCCCAGGATACATCGTGGTTCCTCCAGAGAGGACATTATTAGCATAAAGATCCTTACGGGTGTCGATATCTCATTTCATAATACTGTTGTAAGTGGTTTCATGGATACCTGCAGATTCCATCCCTGAGTGGAAAGAAGTTTCAACATGTTATTTCTCTTTGTCCCCTTCTTTTTGTTACTGTTAAAATGAAAGGAAAGCTCGCTAGTCCAGGCTGCCTCCCTTAAAACTCCAGGAAAAAACAAAGCTATGTGACGCTTAGGAGAAAGACAGGACATACTCAACTTCTTTGTCATCTCAGCATAGTAATTACACAAGCAAAATACGCTTGGGAGGAAAAAAGATCCCCATTATGATTTCATGCTGGGTTTTTACTTCCTCAAGTAAAAAAAAAAAACATTATTTAAGGAAAAAATTAAAATGAGGCTTTACTGCAATAGTTTGCCTTTTTTATAATCTTTTCTAATGCTGTTAGCTAGAAATAGGAGCCCACGTGGCATTTCAGTGAGCTACCTGGCTTTTGAGGTGCTGGTTTAATTTGAATGCCAGTACAGTAAAGTTAACTTATGGTACTATTTTTTGCTAAAGAAAAGGAACAGACCAGAAACAATCCCAGGAATAGGGTTTGAACTTTAAGTACTAGGCTTTTTAAGTAGCTTAACATGCACATTTCAACAAAGATCTGTGATCCAGGAAATCCTGATTTCCATCGCTACGTTTCTGATACTGACCACTGTCTAGCACCAGCTGTGATCCCTGATAGACTTCTGGCAGCCAAATCCCTCTATCTATTAAAGAGAATTTCTCCTCCTGATGTTCAAATACAGAATATTTGAACATCACTCCTGCTGATGTTCAACTGCAGAACTTGGAGCTGTATTAATGCTTGAATAGTTTCATTTCTACACACAAACATGGCTAGCTTCACCATTTAATTTAACGGAAATCGTGCCAAACTGCCCACAGCCATTTTGCTCAGTCCTCAAGCGTGGAATTTAAGTGGGAAGTAGAAAATCTGTGAGGGCAGCATGAGTTACCATAGCGTCAGACATCCGCTGGATAGAATGGGAATTTTAACGCTAACAGATAGAACTACTTTGAAAATAATGTATGATTTGATTTTGTATGATTAACTGACAGATTAATATAATAAAACAATAAATGGAAGCAGCAGCTAGATGAAAAACTCACATAAGCAGCACTGTGCAGTTATACATCAGCCAGTCAAGATGAAAAGCATGATTTTCTGACAGTACTCTAAAACATCACCTTAGAAACTCTACTGTATTTGTAAGAGGTTGAAATCATCTTAGGATTCATGTATTTTAAACTGACAGGCGTCAGTTGTCCAGCAGTGGTAGCAGCAGTGTTCATAGCTTCCCAAGAAATGATTAAGTCAATAGAAGCTGCACGTTTCTAAGGACATTTAAGGATAAATACCTCAGCTCCTACAGCTGAAGGTTGTCTATACTTCCTAATAAATTCTTCTTTTCATTCTCTGTCAAGTCCCTAGAAAGAAAAGTCCTGTCTCACCTATGAAGGATGGCTGGAAGAGAGTTTCTGGGCATCGGAACCGTTCATTCCCAATGGTGATGACTTGTCCATCAGGAAGCTCATAGCTCTTTTCAAGAGAGGAGGAAGAAGCAGCAGTTGCCATTTCATTTTCAAAATCCAACGCAACGTAACAAAGCTTTTCCTTGATGTCTCTCACGATCTCCCGTTCCGCTGCAGACAGCCAACAAGTTTTCAATCAACACACAATATGACAGCCAGGAGACAGATTTTTCTCATGCACATTTCCTTGAGTTCATTGACGGTCATATGGTTTATTGGATTATGACCTCTCTGTTGTCTGAACAACATTACTTTCCCTTTGCGTTACCATATTGTGCTTATCAGCAAATAAAAAGATGTAATATATTACAGAATATTGTAAAGATTATTGTTTACATGTCTGTGTCACAGAAACTTGATCAAGCCTCCAAGAGGTTCATCCATTACCAACTACTAACTTTGTTCCTTTGTCTGTTGAAGAAGTACGATCAAACACAACAACCAATTATATTTGTGAGTGACTTAGGATTTCCTAATGAGGTGGCATCCTCGTTCTTGATGCTCAAATTTTGGTTGGAAAAGACCTTTAAGATCATCAAGTCCAACCGCTTACCTAGCACTGCCGAGTGGGCACTAAACCACGTCCCTCAGCTGAAAGCCAGAGTTCGGAGAATCCCGTTCGCTGATGTGAACTGTTTTTCCCAGACCAACCTAGTGATAGGGATTACCAAGTACGCGCTTCCTGCATAATAAGATGACTAACAGTAAATGTATGCAAAGTACATCCAAAGCACAGCTCATTACCAGTGGTGACAAAAGAGTAGCCTCTCTCCGTAAGAATTTTCATGAGATAGTCAGTCAGGTCTCTGCCTGCCAGATCGAGTCTCATGATGGCATGAGGCAAGGCATAGCCCTCATAGATAGGCACATTGTGTGTGACACCATCTCTGGAACCCAAAACTATTCCTGGAAAGTGAAAGAAAAGGTGAAGCTGGTTATTTCCCACAGATACACAGTCTCCACACACTCCATATTCACAACTGAAACATGCAACAACAAATAAAGATGCTCACAAGCCAATTGCTTCTGTCATCTCTAAAACGAAAAGAGCTGCTTACATGAGACGAATCATTAGCACAAACTAAGCAGCAACTGCGTTTGGGGAAAAAAGACGTGTAACATTCAGCAATTTGATCATATTGTTCTTGCTGAACGGATGATAGCAATAACAATCTTAAATGGATGCAGAGGCTTTCATTTCAGACGACCTCTAGCACTTTACAAGATGTGAAATAATGTACAAACTGTCACTAAAAAAATCTATCTATAAAATTAAAAATTTGAATCTGCCATTAAAATAAAGCATCCTATTGGGAAAATATAACAATGGTTTATCTGTGCACAGCCATGTTATTTATATTCTTGGATAGGAAATGAAGTACATGGTTTCCACTCAAAATGAATAAAGCATTTCTCATACCAACCGTGCATACAAATAATTGAATTTTAAACATAAACCAAGTATTTATGACAATTGTAATTCCTGTAAGCTGGCAATCATCTTACACAAAATTTTACTGTGGCGTCAGGCTACAAATACAGATGGTATTTTAATTTTTTTTCAAAGTATATGAAGACTCAAGGATTGCTAAGAAGTAATTTATTGTCTCAATGCTTGATCAGACTCTAAATGGCAAGAAGAGACCTCCATGCTAATTCTAATGATCACTTAACAGGAGACATTTTTAGGTGATCGAAATTCAACATCTAAATGAAATATTTTCATTTAGCTTCTGAATGGTTGTGTGTGTTTTGTTTTGTTTTTTTTTCTACTGGGAATGGAGCTTAACAATAGAGGTAGGTCTAAAGTAAGAAGGAACCGTGGGTTTGGAACAAACTAGTTAAGACAGAGCCTCTTCGTGCTGTGCAATTAAGGGCAGTATCAAACTGTGTCATCTTTCATCTGTTCGTATAGCTGAGCCATAGACACTTGAGCTTTTGAAGCAGAAAGTCATAAATCTATACCCATACCTGCCATGAAGTAGAAAACAACAAAGAAGTATTTGCACAGCATGGTGGGAAGTATTTAGTCTCCGTACGGCTATCAGTTCTTCTTAATACACAGCTGGTGCAGCATAATCAACGTATATCTGTGTGTGCGTATGTGTATATACATCCAGAAGGGGACAGGTGGAAAACACGACTCCCAGAAAGACTCACCAGTCGTTCTTCCAGATGCATACAGAGACAGCACTGCCTGAATCGCTACATACGTGCCTGCCACGTTGAATGTCTCAAACATGATCTGGAATGAAGAATTTGAAAACCTTTAGGATCTACACTTAAAAAGTATCTGAAGAGACAGTAAATTTTATTATTGCTTTTTTTTTTTATGAATACTGCCAGTCACTACTCCCGAGTCCCCTCCTGAACTGTGGTTCTTCTGTGACCAGCACCCTATGTTTTCCTTAGGATTTCATGAAAAAATCATGGAAGTCAGTAGATATCTTTCCTTTAAGCTCAGACTAAGTCAGATTTTTTACTGATAATACTAATTGAAGATGACACCTTGGGACAATTTTTTTACCCTGATGGCAAGACTGCAAGAATGCAGCAATCAAAAGGTGGGGGTTTTGGGTTTTGGTTTGTTTTTTTTTTTTTTTTAATATACACAAATATAAAAGACTTAGAGAAGACACTGCAGGAGGAGAGTCTCCACACTTTTTTCCACACGTGGAAAAAACTCTCTATTCCCATCTCAAGGAAGACTCAGCCATTCCTGACACAGCTTTGGTTCCGTCTCAGAAATTCCTTTGCTGGAACATACACAGATTCCTCTGGCAAACAAATCTAGTGATACACTATACTTACTATTATGGGGGTTTTCTTGGTGTCTAGCTAAAACCTCACTTGGTCTAGTTTAGACACATCACACCTCATTCTGTCCCCCAGCAAAGACAACAGTTCATCTTTTCTCGTTACGGCCACCTTAGCCATATTCTCTTGTCTCATCCTCCACCTCCTCTAGTCTACTAAGCTCCAGTTCTTTCCATCTCCTGTGTCAGATACACTGCAATTTTATCCAAGTAGATGGAATAACACTTGTTTCCAGCTGGGTTTCCACTGGAGCTCTGCTAAGGAAAACCATTACGGGCACACAGTGAACTAATACACTCTGGACAACACTACGTGCTTTATCCTTTCTTAAACCAATGCCCCCTATCCTAGGCTGCGCTACCCCATCGCCAGTGGTGCTGCTGGCACCGTCATAGAACCATTTAGGTTGGAAAAGACCCGTAAGATCGAGTCCAATCTTAAACCTAACACTGCCAAGTCCACCACTAAACCATGTCCCTAAGCACCACGTCTACACGTCTTTTAAATATCGCCAGGGATGGTGACTCAACCATCACACTGTACCCGTCAGAGCTGCCGACATCATGGGGTTAAACTTAAACTTTGGGTTTCATAAGCTAATACCTTTGCCAATAAAGTCTACTTTTAATGAAAAGTATGCTTTCCATTAAAAAATACACAAATTACCAATATTTCATAGTTAATTAAGGTAATGAATTTAATGTAATCAGTAATAAACAATAAGCCTTTAAACAATCTTGAAAACAGGATTTATCATTACAGTATAATGACAGAGAAACAGTCCTAGACATGTCTACTGTATGAACCACACCTCCCGGTTGTTATAAACTCGGCTTTTCTTATGGTCTGTTGTTGTTTATTATCTCCCAGTTGTATTACCTCCCAGTAATGCGTGCTGTCAAGCTCACTACTTAATTAGTTTATTTACACTGTTGCTGAATTGATGCATAATCTTCCTATTAAATATATGCCAAAAGTGGGCACAAAGGGAAGTGCAGAGCCACATCTAATTTTCCCAGATGATTTTATACCTATATCTGTATTTAAATCACACTTCTGGTTACATCACCATCTACATTTATAACACGGACTTTTGGCCAGAGTCTGCTCTAAACTATACAAACTTCAGAGGTCGACTTTTGGTTCTGATTGGAGTTTGTTACCTCGGACGGGGTATGTCACGGGCAAAAATGTTTAGCAAAACATCATTTAAGTTTGAAAGCTTCAGTCAACTCATTTTCCCAAGGCAGCACACAAAGACTCCAGCTTTTGAACACTGTTCTGCCTGATCCCTGAAGAGGTGCTCCAGTTGGGAGTTCCACAAAGTCACCTGCATGATGGCCTTCAAACATCTTTATTCAAATCTTAAAAAAAAAAAAAAACCAACATAATCCTGATATGATAATTAGCATTTTGTCTGATGCAAAAGTGTTGATAAAGTGACAGTCTTCAGGGTAGAAAGCAGGAGCTGGTACAGCACGAGCTGAGGAGTTGGGCTACTACAAGTTGAGCACTCTTGGTGGCCAGAGGTGGGCACATAAAAGGCATCATTGATCCAAAACTCACACAGAAGTGCGATTCAGCTGGTCCACGACCAGTGTGACAGCACTTGCAAACCTCAGATTGAAATACATCAATAACTGATAACTCCACCCAAAATAATTACATGAATCCCGGCTTGACATTACTTACACACCAAAACTCAGTGTCAGAAGCCACTTCGGCCTCCAGCTGCCCCACTTCCAGAACTGAGCACACGGTCTTGTGAACAAAGCAAATGACTTCCAGTTTTTAAGAGGCCAGTTCCATACATCTCACTGCCATACACAAGCATGAAACATTTTAGGGCCATCCGGAGAACCGGTATTGTGTGAGCAGCAGAAACTCTTGCTATCTCACCATGGCTTAGCCAGCATGCTGACCCACACGAACCCTAAAGGATTATCTCCCGGATTAAGAAGAAAGTTGAATACCCAGGATTATTTATATTTTTATCTGCTTCCATGCAGAAATGGTCTGCAGCACAGCATTCAGACGATTACCTGAGTCATTTTTTCACGGTTGGCCTTGGGATTCAGGGGAGCCTCGGTCAGCAGGACGGGGTGTTCCTCCGGCGCAACCCGGAGTTCGTTATATAAAGAATGATGCCAAATCTAAAAATGAAAATCACTTGAGAAAACTGTTCTGCAAGTCGTTTCTTCTCTACACAGAAATACAGAGAAAGCTTTTCAAATACAGTCTGAGCAATTTTATTTTTCTTTTAAAGACATATTAAAATAGACAGAAACCATGCAAGAGTGAATCTGCCAAATTCAACTCTATTTTGGAACCAAAACCATTGGGTTTCTAATGTATGTCACAACAGAATATAACCTACACAATGGAGCCCTTCCAGTTAGATTCTCTAAACAGAGCATAGATCATCCTCTCTAAGCAGGGGCACCGGTGAGCTCCCACCCCCAGCGCTCCGGTACAGAAGCTGCACCAAGGACTGAGTTGTCAGAGTTGGAAAGACTTCCCCACGTCAAGCTGCTTGGAGACTGCTCCAGTTGCAAGTCATTGCCAAGATGCTCTTTAGAAATCTAATTACTTCCACAGAAGCCAAAGGCCCTTTATGCCACAGACATGTCACCCAGTAAATCCTGAATCAAACTCTTCACTTACTACAGAGTAACTAAATTCCTTAGTCACAGTCTGCAAAGTACTGTCGTATTTTTTTCATGTTTGATTCATGTTTGATTGCCTGAGGACTATGACTGTGAGGAATGGAAGGGATTTTTTTTCTTGATGCCAGCTCAAAGACAGACTATTCAGTAACATGATGAAATATTTCTTATCTTGTTCAATTCTTTCCTACTCTTATTTCTTTTTTTTTTTTCTATTTTTAATCATATTCCAGCTTTGCCTGACCCAGCAAGTTTACTTCTGAGCACAAAACATCAGGATAGTTTTATGGGTAAGTTTATTCAATTAACATCCTAGACACAAGTACTACTATGCTCCAAAATGAACTTCAGTGGAAAAAAGATCTTATCTAAATCCAAAGAACCCACAAAGTCAATAGCTGTTCAGAGCTGGAATTATTAAAAAAAAAACCCAAAACCCAAAACCTATCAGCCCTAAAATAAATTTCAATTTCATCTCAGTCCTCTAAAAAAAATAATTATCAGATGTTTCTAGAACTGGGGCTTGGGATGCCGGGCCATCTTCCATTTGAAGGATTAGAATACAAATACAGGGAGAAGTTGAATAAAACAGAAAGTAATCATGTAAAAGTTAAAGACATAAATCAGATACAAGACTACGGCTGTTTCAGACAGGAAAGAACTAAGGGAAGAGAAGGAAACCTCCGTGCTTACCCAATTAACAAAGTACTGGCTATTCCAGCAGTGAGGAACAAACCTGGACTCATAAAGCGGGACACTGCCTAAACCTCGGGCAGTTTGTAGGTTTTCCCTCAAAACCCAGGCACAATTAGGCACTGTGCAGCCCATCAGATTCAACCTAATGATAACCATCACGTAATTGGATAATTATATTCCACAAGAAACAAATATAGTTCAGTGTTGGATTTTATAGGTCATGAGAATTAAACGTAAGCAGCAAGCACAACGGCAAAGAGGAATTACTGAGAAAGAATTATTCTAAGTTATATTAAAGATTTACATAGTCACCAGAGCCAGAAAACCCTCCATCCCAACGCTTTCCCTCCCATACGTTGCCAGCTCAGTTGCTGCGAACAAATTAAGAGTGATGTACAATGCCCTGTATTATTATCCAGAGGAAAACAGAGCAGTCCCAATTTGAATATTGTGAACTGAAGCACAGGAAAAGAAGAATGCTTCGTTTCATCGCCTACATGTTCTCCTCCTGATTCACACGAGTATCTATGTGTCCTGCAGCATCCTCGCTCCCGCTTTCTTCTGCACACACACACACACACACAGCCTAATCTTTTGGCAACCCCCTCGTTCTTGTAACGTGTGGATAGTTGGGCACTGCCTTATTAAGCCTTTGTCCCATTTTTGGCACAGTTACTCAGTAATTCTCTTATTTCTTCTACATTGTGATGCTTTTAGTAGTATTATTTCCAAGCACTGGAAAGAAATTTCTGATTTGGATCAAAATCATGCAACTGGTTAAAAAATCTTGGGGAGGAAAAAAAACCCATATATATTTATATACTTATATATATATAAACACACACATATATATTTTTATATATATTTATACACACACACATTCCCTTAGCACCAAAACTTTAGGAATTGAATTTCGGGACTTCTCTCAGCCAAAAAAGTGTGCGCACGTGTGTTACACAATTCCAGGGGAAGTTCAGGTATGCATGTAATCATTTGACTGAATCAGGGAAGCTTGTATATTAAAAAATGATATCTATATGCTTTTTTTTCTTATTTGCATTAATCACTAAAGTTAGCAATGCTGTTTCTTGTCTCTTCCCTACCGCTGCCCTTCTCTCATGCTTCTTTTTTCTATTTGTTGCTCATTTACTTGCAAGCAGTCTCCGCTTTCTGTCCCGCTCTTGCTCCTGGGCTCAGCAAGAAGTCTAAGCCCAACTCCGTGTCGGGGCACCTTTGCCAGCGACTGCATGTTGCAAGCTGTCAGAAGAAGGTAAGTTTGGGCTAAGGACTCACTTTCACAAGTAATTCCTTCATCCATTTAAGGGACAAAGAGAAAAACCACAAAACCCCATACAGTATCTGACCATTATCCGAATTACTGCACTGCCTGAAGCCTCCACCACATTATACCCTAAAAAATAATCAATCTAGCCATACACTACAGTAACGCACACACCACTTTTCTTACCATCTCTAATTCCTTTTCCTAACTAGATTTTAGATAGTCTGCTCTAGCATCCAGCATTACCCAGAGAAAGAACACATACCGGTATGGCTTATCCTCAGGACAATTTCTAGATGCAGAGACCAGTTGCTGAGGGAAGAACACAAAATAGCAACCTCCAATTTTATTTAACTTTCTTTTTTCCTACAGGGAAATATAATTTCTTGCTAAATGAAGACAGCAGGAAAATTATCAGGAAAAACAACATACTGGGATGTACGGAGGTAGACCTTCTACTCTGCAGAAACGTGCAAGGTGTCCTCTCAGGAAGCAGTGAAATAATGAAATGCAAATACTATGCTTCCATCTAGAGGAGTAGGCGGGCAATTTATCTCCAAATATGAACTGAGGAACTCCTGTTACTCCTGTATCGACTTCAGTGTGTTCATCTGGAACACTCTGCATTAACCAGTTTGGGTTCATGAATATGACACAATAGCTGACTTCAGAGATCCTTATTCTAATTGTGCACACCTCATCTCAGCACGTGGGACTACAGAACAACACCGACCCCATGTCTTCCTTTTGGGGGTATTTGCCAAAGAAAAACAGTAATAGAAGTGTTTGCTTGTAGTTTCCTCCCTATACCATTCCACCTGGAGACAAGGGACTGAACCGCACTCCTCCCTCAAAAGAAGAGGTACAACATTTCCATGTACAGACTCAGATGCTTCCTGAAGAGACCAGGACATATGGGATATCAGATATATTTAGCAGATGTAGGAGTCCTCCTGCCTCTCCAGCATTTGCCAAGAGCACGTTTCATCGCCTGTGCCTGCTCTAGGACATCCTTCAGCAGGCATTTCACTGAGAGGCCATCGCAGTGGCCACATGTCAAGAAAGTCATGCTTGATAGGGAATCAAGACGCCTTCTCACCATCCAGAAGTGAAAAGCTAACTGGAATTGGCAACAGCAAAACATGCTTCAGGAAAAAAAAAAAAAATCCCACTCTCAAGAAGTTGGTATAGGGATAGGAAGCCCAAATCTGTCTTTTCCTCTTTAATTGACAGTGAGAATGTCATATGCAATATGAGGTGTGGGAATCACCCATGCTCTTGTTCATGTAGGCAAGTACTAAGGAGGGAAAAATCACCCCTCCTTCTCACAGTTTTTGTTCCCAACTTCAGTAATGTATCTTTAATATTTCTCCGATTCACCCTGATTAATTGCGACCTGTATTTCTTTTCCACTTTAGCTACTGTCATTGTCAAACCTTCTGCCCAAGTATGAACTTCAAGACTGAAGAGTACATACAAAGCATAAAATACTTTCGCAACATACTGCTAAATCTGACGAATAATAAGCATTTACTTTTTAAAAGAATATTAACCCTTGAAGTGCTAAGACCTGATCAACTCCTATACAAGCATGCTGTACTATCCCTTTACCTATACTGCAATTAAAAATTTTTCATGGATTTTCCCTTCGGTTTCCAAGAAAGTTAACGGCAAATTGTACGCCTTGGGTAAGATGACGCCTCAACAAGATTACATTAAAAATAAACACCCACCTTTTCCATGTCATCCCAGTTAGTGATGATTCCATGCTCAATGGGATATTTCAGTGTCAGGATCCCTCTTTTACTTTGTGCTTCATCCCCTACATAGCTGTCTTTTTGACCCATTCCAACCATAACACCCTGCAAAGTATATTATTCTGTATTAGTGCAGTATATCACACCCATTAAATACAGAATATAATTTTTAACTTAAAATTAAATGTGAAATACTGTACCTGCTACTGCCGTTCCAGAACATGCCCCCAAAACCTGCAAGGAACTAAGATGCGAATTTATCACTAACCACCTACTCTGTACTAACATCGCCTATGAACCCACAGGGAAGAGCAAGGCAGCTCCAAAAAGGGAGGACGGTATCTCACACCTGGTGCAACTAATGCCCACGCAGGAGCCCAGTCAAGGCAGACATCAGCAAACCCAGGGATCTCCACAAGGGATGGGTCCTTTGCCATTGCGCAAAGGAATAAAGGGAAGGAATTACAGGTGAAAAAGTTATGATCTGGTTTTGGCTCCCTACATTTACTTTATGTATGTGGTTGCACTTTGAGTCTAGGCAGTTCCACTATTGCCTTTAAACAGTGACATTATTCCCCCTTGCTGGCAGTGAAATGGTTTTGAGAAATATACATTTGGAAAAAAAAGCACTGATTTATAGAAAACACATTTTTCTAAAGAAATCTCGTTTATTAAATAATGGCGTTACTCAGTTTATTATGTTTGCATTAGGAAGTCTATCATGATTGCCCCAAATAATGTAACGACATATGAAGTACAATACTATTCATCAACTAGCATTAAAATATTTAATTTTTCTCATGGATACATTTCAGTTCCATGGATTCAACCATACAGCTGCTGAGCTGTGTAACTATGCAAAATTACATGCCAGCTCAAATCACCAATAAAAGTCAATGAACAATTCAAGACATTAAACAATGGACATGTTTTCGACCACTGATACTCAACAATTCATTGAGGTGTTCAAAATGCATTCCTTCAAATGCTTAGTATTTTTCTCATTGTCATGTCTAAAGTCTCAAAAAAAACCCCAAAAAACAAAAACAAAAAAATCCCCCAAACAAAAACCAACCCAAGCAACGCAAAACAACCACCCAAGGCAGACAGCATTTCCATTTTGGTACCAACCGACCTGATGCCGAGGACGTCCAACGATGGATGGAAATACAGCTCTTGAGGCATCATCTCCTGCAAACCCGGCTTTGCAAAGCCCAGAACCATTGTCACATACAAGGGCGGTGGTTTCATCGTCATCGCACATAATGCCTCACAATTTTGGCTGCAAAACAGTAATTTGGAGAGTTGGGAAGGAGCAGATGGAAGGGCATAGGACAGAAGCAACTCCCCATCATTTAGAGAGCAAACTGCCATAAAAAGAATAATTTTGTCAATGAATAAACCTAAACAGCAAAGTCTATGCTAAAGCCGTGATCTTGCAAAGCATCTTAAGCATCCACATAAATTTCAGCTTGAACAGGTTTTACCGAAGCAAATTAATCAGGACATTCAGCCTTTGTTTCCAAAAGGGACATCTCCTCTTCTGTAGCCTCAAGGAGTCCTGTGATATTCTGTTAATTGGCCTCGTGACCATTTCAGCTAGAGGATACACATTCAGCTCTACTTGGACTTAAGCAAGCATAACCCCATCTCTCCGAGGCCGAATTATCTTCTAGAAGTTTCATTTGTTAAAAATGAATTGGTCACATGTACCTACCTGTTATAATGTCAGATGGTCAATAAGAATTACCGAACATTCATTACTTCAAAGACCGCAGTTGTTTCTCGTGGCATGTTTAAATTTGCTTTTTCTTAGAGGGTCATCATCACTCTTGAACAACCAACTAAAAATAACCCCACAAAAAGTCTCAGGAAAGCGTTTGCTGTGTGTTTTTAAATGACAGCTCCTCTGTAAGGTGAAGTGCTCGCTACAGGACCGATTCCATATTCGTTAAGTGGTAAATACCTTACCAAGTGGTTATTCTGGGAAACAGAACAAGAGGCAGCTGCCACACCTGCCCAGGAACAACTCAACTTCAGTGGTTGGCCAACACATCAGACGATGTCCTGAACTCATTGAAATTCATGGCAAAACTCCCACCAAGGGGGCGCCTGAATTTCACCAAGACTTATGTTTCAGATTCCTTGGTTATTTTTAGGACTGTACGATTGCCTCTTTAGGCAGTCGCGGAGAGGGAAGGATTTTATTTTTCCTTCTCTGGCAACTTCACTCGGTAAGGAAGGGTACTTCAGAAATGGGAAAGGACTGAAAAACAGCACTTGTCCAGCAAAGGCCTCTCCCTAACAGCGCAAAAAGGTATTAAGCATCATTTTTGCAATTATTGCAAAAACGTATTTGACTTCTGATGGCGTTACAGCTCCACCGGAGTGCTACGGGCACAGGCAGGCCAGGAGCGGTGGCAGAAGGGTTGCCAGCATTAGGGTTTGCCCCGCACCCCATTCATGCGGCCCCATTTGTGGGGTTTGAAATCTCTCAGGCTGTTCAGAGGATCCCTGCAATAATACCCTGGAGATCTACAAACAACAGGAACAGTTTGGGTTTTTCAGGTTTGAGCTGCATGAAGTTCCTGATGTTCAATCCTTTCCCGTAAGCTTTACAAAGCACGACTGTGACATATGACTGATCCAACACTCTCAGAAATGGAAGCGTAAGTTGATGATATAACATTATTTTAAATAAGAACAATCATTTTAATCCTTGTTGATGTGCCTGTGACTGGTAGATTCTTTTTCACATATGGAAGTAGAGTAACTTTATCACATAAATTTGTTAGCAGCTTTAATATAGGAACATTTAGCCATTAGTTCTAGTAGCTGGTATTTTTGAACATTCATTCATGTTGCCATAAATTGTTATTTTTGTCAAAAACCCTCAGGAAAGGCTTTTAGAATGTAATAAACCAACCATTTACAGCAGTATCCAACGTCAGAGAACTGCACCCAGACTCTGACTCCACCAGTGTAAAACAGAAGGAAAACCCAGTTCTTAAAATACATCAGAAATGACGTCAGATGAGATACTAGAATTTAAGAGTAGAAAATTTTAAAGTAGAGAAATGCAACACAGCTCTGAGAGTTCAGCATCGCTCCTTGGCTCTAAGAGGGCTGGACAGGACCAAGATGTTTAGTCCTCCATGGCGAGAAATGATATTCCCATTCATTCCTAGACACAACATTTCATACACAGCTTGAAATGTAAAACTAAGGTCAGTGCAGCCATATGTGGAGAAACAAACTTCAGAGGGAAACCCCAGCCAGTCTTTACAAGTTACGCTTTAGAGGGCTGGCAGTCACTCTTTATACTTTTACTCACTATTGATTAGATTCCAGAGAAGCCACTGATACTTCCTAATAAAAATCAATCACCGAATTTGTTAATTTCCCATTTAAAAAAAAATAATCTTGCTTTGCTTATCATTACTTAATTACAAGGTGAATGAACTGATAAAGAGCGCTACTTAAAATTTTCATGGATTAAGTTACGTTATTGCTTTACAGCTGCTGAATTTGTAGGTTTAATAATCATTTTCACAAAGCAGCTATTTGGAAATCTTTTTTACCAGATGAAGTTTCTAAATACATTTCCTAAATTTGCTGAATTTTAATTTTTAGTTTCAATTTTTATTTTTCTAATTCCCAGTGAAAAATTAAATACAATTAACAGAGAACTTCCTTTTTGGTTTCTGCATAAGGCCTGATGTCCGGGCAGCAAACACTATTGAAGTGTTCTTCCAGGTTTCAGATAGACTAAGAAGGTTTCATCGCACTCTACTGATCCTTTCAGCGATGAGGAAAACTTGCACGTTTCCCTGCAACCGTGCAGTCAAAACTGAACTAGCTTACACCAGGAGACCCTTTGGAATTCCTCCAAAACCTGAGGCAAACAGCAAAGTCCAGCAAGTGTGTAAATCCCCCAAAGATTTCAGACCAAGTGAAGTGAAGCATTAAAATCATGAACTGTAAGAGGAAAAAAAAAAAAAAAAAAAAAAAAAAAACCACCTCCCAGGGAAGTACTTACCCTGGAAACGGTGAGGATTTGTAAAAGCCTCTTGGTAAATGACATGATCTCACCTTCCATTACACTTATATCAGCTTCTGGAATGGAGTTCACAGAATATCTACAAGTGTAAAGTCATTTTTGGAAACTTTTTTTTCCCCCCCAGTTTGCGCTTATCACAGTGACAGCACAAAGGCCTAGATAAACTAGGGCAGAATTTCTAACATCTCTGGATCCTTTCCCACTCGCTTACCTGCTACGCCTCATGACAGAGGGTTGTTTTCTCCCCAGAAGACAAAAATCTCTCACACTAGACGAGTAAGACTGGAAGGATTTGTAGGTTCACTGTTGTCATTGCATTCTGCTTCATTATAACACAATTAGCTAAGACTAGCTCATTATCATTCTGTTAACAGCCATCTTCAAGCTGGAAGGGGAAAAGTCTTAACATGTACAGTACCCGTGTTTCAACTGTACTTGCGTGGCGGAAAGACTGAAAACAGCCGACTTATCTCAGTACTTGGGTGACACAATGGCCAAAACCAGGGACTGAATCAGCAATCAGCCATTCAAAGGAGACGAACCATTACCATTTTATGAAAACAGACATCAATTATATAGGAATATATTGGGTTTCTATAGAAATCCAGACCTTTACTAGACTAAGAAATATTCAAGAACTGTGAAAAGAAGAAAGTTTACAGGATTTACCTACAGTGGTAACTACAGCTGGCAGTATTTCCGTTCCACCTGACAAACACAAGCGATGCAGAGCATCAGATACAATTTGGTAAATGTTAACTCTGCAAACATAAATGCCACCCAATCCCTCTTTCTAACCTGTCACGCGACCACACAGAAAACCACATACAAGAATCCTTGGACCTTAAGCAGATCATTCACCTCATTAACATCTCTTCAAAGGCCAACTTGTATCTGCCCATCAGTAAAACCTATGGAATCCTTCCATTTCCATACTCATTAGGTTTTTCTTTTCCCACAAGACTTTTAGGATTTTAGTCTAGCTAACAGGAAATTAAATGGCTACTCCTTTTTGTGGCTTTATGCCTACTCCTTTAGACTCAGCTTGCTTTGATTGTATCTCCATTTTACACACACGTAAGCGGAAAAGCAGACAGAACAAACACCAACAAACAACTTGGGATGTGAAAACAACCTTCCAGCTTCCACAGTCTTCACAAAAAAGCCATTTTTTGAATCAGAGAAAGAGCTGTGCAGTTTCAGAGCACATTATAACAAAATTTGGATGCATTAATATGCAACGCATAACACTATTACATGTCTACAAAAACTAAATGCAAACCCTCTACTTCTTGTAGCCTCTTAGTTGAAAACGTACCCTTTATTCATTTGTATCTTGAAGCCCAAGTATGTAAAATATGTAAGGTTGGGTCTTTACAAGCTTGGATTTCATGTTCTGAGCAGCTGAGTAACATTTTCCCCCAAAGATACACAGTAACTAAACCCACCAAGATAAGTGAAAGTGAACAAAAAAAACCCCAAACAAACAACAAGAAACAACATCAAACCAACCAACACAAAAAACCCAAACAACCCCCACAAGAAAAACTACAGAAATCGCACCTTTAAACACCAGTAAAGGAATATAAGAAGTTGTAGACATTTCTCCATGTCATCTCAATTCTGAATCTTTAATCATCAGCCTCCCTCATTACCATATACATATTGGGGCACCTTGTCAGAGCCATTACAAACTGTGTGGCCAAAGAACAACCGTCTTATATCTTTTATTTTCAGCCAAGAACAAAAAATAAATCAAAAAGCCAGTAGTTCTTTCTTTATTGCACTCTATAAAACCTCTTGTTATAAACAAGAAGCCAATAAACAGTAATAGCTGATTATTCCTTTAAAATTTATAGTTTAACTCTTAAAATAAAATTTATATAGAAAAGATATCATTTACAACCCATTCAGTAGTAATCAATCATTATGTACTCACAAACAATATTAAATAACTTGTATGCAGCAGTTTCTTTATAGGGCAAAGAGAGGGGAATATTTTCTCCTTAGCAAATATAATATTCCACTGATAAAGAGCAATTCAAGTCAACTTTGGAGCAACTGTGATATACACAAATTTTTTTTCAGAAGCATAAGATTCAGGTAGTGTAACAAGAATATATACAACTGTGTCCAGTGCATAGCTTAACAGCAGCATGTGAAAAGTCTATTATCTTGAATTGGCACACCATTACCTACAGAGAAATAATTTACCCAGAAAATGCAGTGTATTCAGAGAACACCAGTCAGGCACAGTAAAACAACAAGATGTAGTGTAACTAGGTACGTGAGGAATAAATAGCGGGATTTTGCTCTGGAGGTCAGCAGCTTAGAACAGTAAAGACTTCGCCCTCGAACCCATCTTCTGAAGGAAAGGGCTCCTCCTTTCATCTGGTTAGGAAACAAAAAACATCAAATAAGTAATCAGGAATACAGATGAGAAAAATCTCCACTCTAACTTGAGATTTCTGAGGCACGAGACACCTTTTGCCTCTGATGCAGCAAAGGATGCAACAGCACAGGCTGTAAGCATAAATGATTTAAAGGCCAAATAAAACAGCATTGGTAAGAGGAGAGGAACGGATACAAGATATTCATGTATTATGTAATTACATAACTGCATAATTATATGCATACATATTTTATTTAATGGCCACATGTGCAACATAAATATGATTACTCACATTTTAATTTGGCCAGACATAATGTGTTATATGGCGTGGTTTACACAGCTGCCTGTATTTAACTCACCATCCACAACCCAAACAGAAAGAAATTAAGGATGTTTTTTCAGTAAAGTGTAGTTTCAGCAGCAGCTTGCTGCTTTGAATGGACGCCTCTATGGCCCCCCCATCCCCATGACGTCTAACAAGAAAAGAGCACTTCTCGGTCAGCTTTTCAGAGACAAGGCAGATGAGACAAGCAGCTGCTTCATGCTAGTGTTTACATATAAAGAGGACAACCCAAAATCAGTGACTCCCAGTCGCTCAGAAAGGAAATCCATACTCCGAGAATGAGTGACAGTTGAAAGAAAGGTATAGCAGAGGGGAGACAGGAAGGAGTAGCATGAAGGAGATAATGAGCTGTGCTGTCTTCAGTCCAGTACAATCCAGTCTGCAACTAGCAGTATACAATATGCGTGCCACTTCTGAGCAGCTCATAAATTCAAGGGTTTTAAAAGCTTTCATGTACTTACCTTTCGCACAATAACATGTTCACTAGGATTGATGATTAAGGCTTCTCTTTCCTCCTCAGTTTCCATCTGAACCGCATATTCGCTAGGTACAGACCTGTAACTGCTTACTTCAAATCTAGAGAAAAATTAAAGGGAGACAATGGAGTACTGAATTATCTGCTCTTTAAAAGTACAGTATTCACTTAAGAAACATTATTTTGCATTCTTACATTACTGGGGGAATGTCCCCACAAAAAGCAGTACGACTTTGTGTTGCCAGGTCTTTTTCAACCTCTATTTGCAATCTACTCTCAAGGTGTTTCATTTATTCAGAATAACCTCATCATTGCTAGCTGACTGAATGGTGATTTTCAGATGACGGTAGTGATGGACACTTTATGTAGGCAGATGGATAATGGTATTTTAAATCTAAACAGTGGCTGTACTAAAGCTGTTATATGTAAGATTTTTTTCTAACTTGGAAAAAAAGAAATACCACTCACTGAGTCCAACATCTGAAGCAAGAAGTTAAATAAAGAAAAAAAAAATCCCAAAGCCCATAACATTTTCTTGATCCATGGAATCAGAGACAGCTTTTTCACACAGTTACAGATGCATTTTCATTTCTTCAGGTACTGCGGACTCACAAACAGGTTCTATTATTTGTTTGCTCTATTTGTTCTATTATTTGCTCAGGAATCTAACACCCATAGGAAAACCTATCACTAATCTCACTAAAGATAAAAGACAGGAAAAAAATCTGACACTCCATTTTCCAGTTCTGTAGTACACTTTGCATTTACTCCAGGCGGAGTGTAAATGAAAACCTCAGCATGTGTTTGTCCACAGGGAAGCAGAAGCAAAAGATGGCTTTGGCTCTCTGAACATGCAAGTTATTTCATACCCACGTAAGAGTTTAATGCAGCAACCAAACTGTCACATAATTCAAAAGTATAAGAAAAGAAAAAGAAATATGTTTTACAGAGACTCTTTCAAGAGAAAAACACCCCATGACTCACAGGCAGTAGTATTTTACCTGTTACTTTGCTCCTCAGAGAGTCCAAGAGCCTCTTCTGCAGCTTCTCTCCTCCTCTTCTCTTCTGACAGTGTTTCTGTCAGCTGTGAGAGCGCCTGCTGCACTGAATCATACTGTTGCTCGGTCTCTGAAAGCCTATGACAACATGAAACCCGAAATCAGTATTTTAGGTCCTTTAAGAATTACTTTCTCATTCTTTGTTATGAATGAATGTCCTTTTTTGTGATAAAGACTTAATTAGAATGAGATGCTTTAGATTAGATATTGAAATAAAAAGTCACCAATAATTATGTATCTTTACAAAAACAAACCACAAATGTTACCAGATAATGACAATTCAAGAACCTGCCTGTGATTCATTTAATCCACTGTAAATCCACGTCTTTCCCTTAGAAAGGCATTACTTTCACACTTATAACATAGCTGTCAGGAAAACAATATTGCTAATACATGCTCTCAATCCTGACCTTTTTCTGAGTTCATTCAGCTCCGTATTGTCTATTTCAACAATAACCGCGGATCTTTCCTGTGGCGCTCCAGGGGGAACTTCTGCTCTAGTTTCATCCTAGAAAATATTACAGGGGAGAAAAAGCCAGTCACCATTTTTCTAGTAGCCAAAAATCTTTATTTCAATTAAAGCCATAGACACCATAAAGAGTGGAACAAACCACTCTTTGTGCCATTTAATCTTTTAATTTCCGGAACTGCAATTTTCCAAACCTGTTTTCTAACAGAAAGTTGATGTGTGTGCTGCAAGACTTGAAGGAAACATGTGCGCTGCACAACACGGCAATCTCTGAACAACGTCTAAAATGCAACAACATATCTACATAGTAATAGAACACTGACCGCAGTTTCAGGAGTAATGCAGCTATTCGTTTATATTTTAGTTTACAGTTCTCCTTGTTTGTATTTCTGTTTATGGAAGAGTAAGGGTTGCATTATATATGTATCCATATGATATTTTAGGTATTACATTAATTGTTACTGAATAACCAAGGCAGTACAGGAAAACTTTTGAAAAATGAAGAGATTACAAAGGCATAAGCTTACAGATGTGTATGAGGCATTGGCAGAGGGTACTGAAATGCTGAACTGGTAATCTAGATCTCGCGTCTGAAAACATTACACAAACACCTTGCAAAATGATTCACGACTGGTGTGAAATTATCACTAAACTTTGTGAACCAATGATTAGTGATCATCCAATTGCCACTGCCCGCTGTAAACCAATTCAAGATCATACTTCAAAACAAAAAAAAGCTTGTATGAACAGCTTTCTTAAATGAAAAGTCAAATAAAAACAGCTTTACAACAATAAAGACAGTTATCTTCAGTGTATCATGGCCTAGCAGAAGTACTGAATCAGCATAACAAAAAGTATGTACTTCATTTTTAGCACGAAAACCAGAAAAGCGTAAGCACAGAAGATAAAAAAAACACCTAAAAACATTTCCATGTATTTGTTTACCTGAACAGTGCCTTGGAAAGATGTTACTTGCATGGTCTGATATTCCCTCTCCAGTCTTAAATAACGATTTTGCAAGTCAGTGTAACGAAGCTGGTTATCCCTTAGAGTCTGCGAAAGAGTCTTCAACTGGGCAGACAAGACAGCATTCTCTTCTGCAGACTGCACCACCTGAAACAAAGTAACATTTAAATTAATAAAAATCAGGAATTATCTCCTCCAGGAAATTACTACAAATTTTGAGACTTGATGTTGAAAACAACCAAGTACTAGTTTCAAAATTACATCAGCTTTTTGGCAAGCTCAAGGTTTGGTAAGGTTTAACTAGTTGTTTTATGAGCAGCGGAAAGAATGAAACCTGAGTATTGATTTCCCCTGCCACCAACACACCCAAACCAGAAACTCAGGGTTTTAAACCCCAATGCATTCCTCTACTGTGTTTGCTATGGTATCACCGCCTGGTAAAAGGCAGCATACATAGTTGCTACTTCAGGACAACGTATATAGCTACATAAGCCTGATAATCTAAACATGTTCACCAGGCAGTCCAGGAACGCACAGCAGTCGAGTTTTCATCTTTTCAAAAAACAGACTGTAATTGGGGTCTCCACCGGTTACCCAAACACTCATCTTCACTTGTAGCAGTTTGAGATTTCTACAAATGTTTCAAAGTTTGGTTGAAACTGCTATTAGGTTTATAAAATGTTTGGGTGAAGCACTGAAAACAGACACAATGACAGATGTAAGTTAACATAAACCTGATTTGCTCCTAATACCAGGCCAGGCAAAGAGAGATATACCATTAAGGGAACATTTCCAAGAACATTTACACACTTTTGAGAACAAAAGTGAACACAAACACATATGTCCATGTGGGGACACACACACTCTTACCATCTTAAGGGCCACAAAAGTGATCATCAAGAATGTGTAAGGAAAGGTTTTTGAGGTGTTTAAAATTTGGTATGAGATAGCTAAAAATCTTGTCCCATCTAAGACAGACATCTGCTTCTGTCTATAATGAAAAGTATTTTACTTTGACTAGAAGTTCAGCAGTGCCCCATCAATGTCTTCAGAATGCAGATTCAAATAAACCTCTCTCAGTCAAGTAACAAGTCAGGAAAGCCTGACAGAAAGATAATACTGACATCTGGTTTGCAATTTCCAGTCTAAGCCAACAGGGTTGTTTTGAAGAATCTAAGTTTTAAAGCACTCTAACTTTCAGTTATACAAGACTGCCAATTCAGCAGTATTTCTATGTTGATGCCAGCTCAGGTTCACAGGAGTTATTGAGGATCGTAAGTGCAGTTCTAAGTTACCTTTGAATTAATCTGCTGAAAATGCAGATCCTTCTGGTGTATCTCCTGAAGACAGCGCTGCAGGTCGTTTTGAAGCTGATTCTTCTCAGCTAAGATGTGTTTGATTTCCTCTGGCACGTCTGCACTTCCAGCGAGTGCGGCAGTTTCTAAAACCTTAAAAAGTATTAGCGTATTCAGGGTAAATGGTACAGAAGTTTTCTAAATAATATACAGCACCACTAAATATACATATGGACTACAAAACAATTTCCTTCTCACAAGATCATTTCCTTCTCACAAGGAATACATTTGCAAGAGACTTTATATATATATTTAAAAAAAAAAAACAACCTTCTGCTTAGTGTTTTCAACCTCAGTACTTTAATTAAAACAAAAAATTACCATCAAAAGGCAACCCAACCTAATTTTTAATTTGCAAATAGCATGAAGCACAAAAAAAAAAAAAGGGAAAAAGAAACCCAGAAAAAGCCAGATAAATATAAAACACCTTTTAAAACTTATTTTCAAACTAATAATGTATGGTATTCACAACTTGTCGAACAGCTATTTTGTAATACAAATTTAAAGCTGAAAGTCCATTTTGAAAGAAAAAAAACCCACACCCAACTTCATGACTGATTCTCAGGTTTGGCCTTCTTTATCTCTGGCATGTCAACATTTTGATGTTAATCTCCAATAATGGAGGGAAGTGTGCCATTTCTAATGCTTTATGGAATCTATTTTCCTATACAATCATGAAATGAAGACTTCTACCACACAAAATATTCCATAACCCAACAAACATTACTGTTCAATAGCTTGTATTTGTGATTTTAACCACAGAAAATGAACAGCCTATGAGACACAAACCTGACCAACTGAAACACTGATTTTAATGAAATTAAAAGGAATACGGTTTACTTCCTTTGGCACAGAAAAGGCAAATAAGAATATTATTCTAAAATAACACTTCCCTTGTCTAGAAAAGCAGACAGCAATTGCCAGACTGGGTCTCAGCTGCTGCCTTTCTAAATCTAGGATTTTGTTCCTGGCAGAAGCCAACTCCAGCTGCTTCAGGGAAGGGTAAGAACACTTCCATTAGGCACATCTCTCCTGTCTCCCCCCAATTAGGTCCTATTCTAATCTGCAGGAATTACAGATTGGTTTAGGCTCTGATGAATTAACTTTATTAGATCTTTAAAATTTGTTAGCATCAGGTATACAAATTCTGAAAACTGTTGTTGTCAGGGTAAACTACAAAGTCCTTTTTTGATCCTTTTTTTTTTTTTGACACACTTTTTAAGGTGTGTCCCTGAAAACAGTTTGTAGCTATAATGCATCTGAAAAAATGTTTCCATTACCTGAAAGAGCACATCCTCTTACTAGTTTTGCATTTGTCACCAAATGTCCCCTATTCTTGCTTTCCTCCTCCCTCCTTTGAAATTTCTTTTTGTATTGCAATATAATACTTCCATGAAGCTGAGGTGAAGTGTACTACAAATTATTTACACCCAAGAATCATGTTTTCTCCACCGGTTTTCCTATCAGTTCTTCAATATCCAAATAACTTATTTGATTTAGACTGGTTTTCTAAAAAATAACATATATGCAAGTCGTCTTGTTTGTCTATCTGTTCCCCCAATAGCATTTGCATCAGATAGCCAATTCTAAAACTGGATTTTAAAAGACAGTTCATGTCTCAAAAAATTATGATGCTTCTATACTTAGTGTAATCCACCACATGAGCAAATTTTCTCTGTTATTTTATCAACGTATGAGAACCCCATGATTTTTCTTTGTTTCAAAGAAGTTGCTCAATATATCAGACTGCATTAAAAAGTGTTTTTAATAATTCAACTCATTTGCTTGGAATAGTTGTAACTTGCTGATTTGACCCTAGGCAACACTGACATACAGGTAACGCACGCAGCAGCCTCCCATACTTCACTATCATACACTGTATAGTTCTCATTTGGAAAGCAGCCTGCAAATTTAATACAATAAACTGGTGGAAGTAGATTCGTGCCTCCTGCTATGCGTCATTTGTTTACCTTGACTGGGTAATTGCTGCCAGCGGAGACTGATTTCTTAACAATCGTGTCTTGTTGCAGCTTCTGTAGTTCTGCAATCTGTCTGTCTTTCTCAGCAACTGTGATTTGATATTGATTTCGCAGTGCCTGGGACTCTGAGAGGAGGAGGTTGTTTTCCATTCTGAACATAAAATAGTAGACTAGATGTTAAATGATAAGATATAGACACTAGTGAATCAAAAGGTTAAAGCTGTACTCACGGTTATTTCTGAGAAAAGTAATGGTATTTTTTTTGAACTGTTATATGCAAATATGGAGCACTACATGAACATTCTCAATACATACTTCAGTTTAAAGATACCTGCTAAAAAAAATAAATCAGATAAAGCCTGGAAAATGATAACATCACGTTTGTTTCGTCGGCTGGGAGACGAGAGAAGTTCATTGCCTGCAAAGATACTAACATCTATTTCAGCTACCTAAAGACCAAGGTTGCACAGCAAAGCAACTCCAGGTCACAAGTGTGTAGAGTGCTGCTCACGACAGCCAGTCTACCCTGCTGCAAGGACACAAGTTTGAAAAGGAATACCCCAGACTCAGAAGACTGAAATAAACAAACATGCCACATCTCCAGAAACTGCTGTTATACACAAGCAGTATCACAAAGGGCATAAAAGTAATTTAAATCCTTTTAAATGCAACTTAATATATGTTTTTAAAGTTTGGGGGGAAAATGGGAAAAGACTATTCATGCTGTTCACTGGTTAAGTCTACAAGTTAGAAGGAGGTTTGAATATTTCATGCCAACTCGCTCACATTTGCAAGGATGAATGTGGGGCTGGCCTTTTGATCTACACCCCCTTCCCCAAAAGCTTCTAGTATAAGACAGATATCATCTTACACAGACTTTAATTTGAGATCTAGAAATTGCTCCAGGGACAATAAAATGCAGTAAGGCACTAGGACACTGCCTACTGGCCTCCAATTCGGCCAAAATTATCTTCACTGAACTGATCATAGCATGCTTTCGCACTTCAACCATCTGCACAAGTTTAAAAGCTTAAAGAACAGCAGCAGCCTAAGATGCTGTTGATCTGCCTCCACTGAGCGCCACTTAAAAATGCCTGCTGCCTTCCTTTGAAGCAGACCTCATGCGGCATTCGCAGAATTAGGCCCGAGGTGTCACATTATTCATTTGTCACAGACGATGCAAGATGTGAACAGTGCTGAAATGGACTCTTGAATCTACAAAAATAATGCTCAAGTGTGAAATGAAGTTAATTTTCAATACGTAGTTGAGCCAAATACGCGACACCTCAGACATTTTTTAAAAAAGGAAATGTGGGGAGAAAATGTTCAGCCATATCAATCATTAAGAACGGGACTGAATACCAAGCGTTGAAATAAGATTCTTAAACTGTAGTTCCGTATATCCAAGTCACCAACAGAACGATAAACATTCAATTAAGACTGTTTGAAATTTTACATAAACAAAGAGACCATTACCTAAAGATAGAAGGATAACCATGAACAAAGACAACTCTGTGAAAGCTGATTTCACACATCACAGAAATATTCTTATCCCACTGCTAAACTATACGTGATCTTGGTTTGCATCAGGTTGTGAAGTCACTGAAGAACTCTAAACAAGAGCCACACGTACTATTTGTTAATTTTAACATTTATACCTCAATCCAGCAAGCTCATTCTGGTATGATGCAATCTCTCGCTCAGTTTCTGCTTGGAAGGCTTTTGTCTGATGCAATGCCTTCTCCAAATCATCAACCTTGGTCTTCAGTTTTGATATTTCAACAGCTGCAAGGCTGGCTCCTTCTTTAGCCTACGTTTAATAAACATGGTTAGTGAACCAGAATGAAAACTGTATGATTGAAGTTTTATTAGTGCTAGAATTCTAACCACAGACTAATGCTTTTCCCCCACTTGCTTCTGTTTAACAGGATAATTATCTAAACTGCCAAAATTGTAAACACGCATTCTCTAGTCACACAATGTTTTCTTAGCACTCACATAATTTACAAAGTTAAACTTCAGAATCCATAAAGTCTCTAAGCGTTCTCTGCATTAAAAAAAAAAATAATCACCAATATTTCCCTATTGTTCTGAGGCATATCCAAACTACTTTTAAAAGAATTTATCTCACGGATGCTGTTACAACCAATGGGAAATGAAGCTGTGCCCTGTTTTGTTTCAGAAGTTACCTTCTGATTGCTGAGTTCCTGCAGCAATTTGTCTCGGTCATCCTGAAGACTGGCCATAGCCTTGGAAAACGCTTCAATCTGGTGAACATAATTCCCACACTCAGATGAGAGTCTGCTCATCTCCATCTCACGACTGACTAACGTCCTACAGAGATTTTCAATTTCATCAGCAATCTGATCAAGTGTAACCTTATCTGCAGCATCAAAAATAACCCGATTCAGAAGAGAATTTTCTTTGAGCATACTGATCAGATGTAATTTAAAGCCATCCAATTCAGCCTCAAGTTCCTCTCCTTTCTTTTTCTCCGTCTTGAGTTCAGATGTGTATTTGCTCTGAAGTACCTTTAAGTCCTCTATTATCCTATCTCTGTCATTTTGCAGAGCAGTCATTGCTTTCCCAAAGGCCTCATTTTGGGACCTCAGCTCACTATTTTGAGATTGAACTTCTAATATCATCTTCTCTGCAAAAGCACCAGGGTCATCTCCATCTTCAAGTGTCAAGAGAGTCTTACTGTATTCCTCATCTGCATCCTTAGTATTTCTGCCTCTTGATTTCTGGAGTTCTCGAATCTTCTTCTGAAGATTTTCTCCATACTGTCCACTGGATACCCATTCTTTTTTCTGAACACTATCACTAGTTCGCAGTTTCTCTCCAGATTCAGAAACAAGCTTCTCTTTGTTTAATGATGCAATTAAAGATTCTAAATCATTTATTTTAGACACTAATTTTTTATTTTCATGTTCCAAAGTTTCAGCAGTATCCTTTTGCAGTTGATTGGAAAGGTGCATTTCTTTCATTTGTTTTTGAAGGTCATATTTTTCTTGTTCGAGGCTTTTAATACAGTCCAATTTCTGCTTAAGTAAGTCTTTCAGCTGATGGTCTTTCAGAGATAAAACTTGATTAAGATCTTCCCTGTACTTTATCAGCTGTGCACTTAGCATTGCATTTTCAGAATGAAGATCATCTCTCTGATTGAGAAGTATCCTTAGTTCTTGCTTCAAAGCATTATTCTCACTTGCATTGCCAACTATAAGTCTGTCCCGCTGATTTAAGACCTCTTGATGAAGGTGTTCCAGTTCTTTATATTTGGAAAAAAGATCATCCCGATCATTCTGAAGAGATGACATTGATTTTTTAAAGGCATCTACTTCACTGGCAATTGCAGCCTTATCTTGACCTGCTTGGTCTGCTTTCATCCGGAGACTCCTCAATTCTTTTTCCATCCTCTGACAGGACTCCTCAGACTGTTGTCTCTCTAGCTGCGAAGACCTTAACTGAAGTTCATACTCTTTGATTTGGTTTCTATGTTGCGTCTGTACCTGATTCAGATAGTCAGAAATCTCATCACCTTTTGAAGAAATGAGTAAGGAAATTTCTTTGTCTTTGCTATTTAGCATGATCTTCATTTGCTCAGAAATGGTAATCTGCTTTTGCAACTCAGCATTAATTTTTTCCTTCTCAGCTAGAAGCTGTTGCAATTCTTGTTCCTGTCTTGTAAAACTACTTTCCAGAGCTTTTATCTCTCTTCCTGCACTTTTACTATTCTCTATGAGATGATTAAGAGAATTATTTTCTTTAAGGAGTGCTTGCAAAGCTGCTTCTTTGGACTGAAGAACACTCTCCAATTCTTGCTGCCTGGTGAAAAAATACGTATTTTCTTCCTTTATTCTGCAGAGCTCTTCATAGCGTTGCATATCAACAGATTTTTGCCTCAAATACAGTTCATCCTTTGTCTCCTCTACCACAGAATATTTGATATTCAACTCTTGAATCTGAGTAATTTTGTCTTTCAATTCATCTTGTAAAGACGTTATTCTTTTATTACTGTCTTCTATCTGTTTCTCTTTATTTTGGATGGCCTCTTTGAACTGCATTTCCCAGGTTTTCATTTCAGTGATTACCCTGTCCCGGTCATCCTGGAGAGAGGACACACACTTCGTAAAAGCAGCTAATCGTGCCAAAGCTGCATTCAAATCTGCTTGAAGCTTCTTGTTTTGAGAGTCCTTAATGTTAACTTCCTCTTGCAAACTGTGAATCTCACTAACTGCCCTATCTTTTTCTCTCTCCAGGACACCGTGTCTTTCTTCTAGGTTCAAAAATTCTCTTTTGTGAACCAATTTTAATTGTTGAAGATTAAATTCCAATTCTCTCTCATAGTCTCTCTTTTGAATTTGTAGTTCATCTTCTTTCTTTTTAAGTTCTTTTCTCCAATTTATATTCTCATCTGTAAGTCTGTCCACTTCATTCTTTGACTGATCCAACAAGTTCATCTGTGAAGAAAGCTCTCCCTTGAGACAATGTATTTCTTCATTTGATTTTGCAAGCTTTTCTGAAATATTACTTAAGTCTTTTTCGAATTTTTCACTTTTTGACTGTGCCAGTTTCACAGATCTTTCCAAATCCAGGATCAGCTCCTGAAACTTTATAGAATCCTTTTGCAAATGGTTGATCTCCTGCTGTTTCTCCTTTAGCAGTTCTTGCAATTCTTTCGTTTTGTTTTTACTTCCATTATTATCCCTCTGAGCACTTTTCACCTTCTCCTCAAACATTTTTACAAGGTGTAACTGCTGTTCTTCTTTCTCTCTGATCACATTACATTTTTCTGCCTTTAATTCTTCCAGTTGCTGTAACAGCAAGTTATTCTGCACCTGTGCTGATTTCATTCTATCAGTAAGATGATCAACCTTTTTAACATGATTAAGCAATTCTGTCTCAAGAAATTCTCTCTCATTCTTTACTCTGTAAGAACTTTCTTGTACATTTTCTAATTCTTCCTGTAACAGACATTTATCATCCTCTAAAATCTTAACTTTTTCATTTAGACTAACAATTTCTTGTTTAAGGCTTTTACATTCCACGTCCAGCTTTGTTAGACAATGATTTTTATGGTCCAAAGATTTTTCAGTTTCTTGTGCTTTTTCTGAAATTAATTTTCTTTCTTGTTCTAGGACAAGCACATCTTGCTCTTTGTCAGAGAGTTTATCCTTTAACACATTAATGTCCTTTAACAATGATTCATTCTCATATAACGCATCACTGATTTTAGATTGCATATCAGTTTGGTACACTTCCACTTGAACTTGGAGCTCTCCCAAAGCTGCTTTAGTTACAGTGATGTTATTATGAAGGATATCATTTTCCTTCTGGATTTTCTCTAAAGCCTGCTTTAAATTTTCAGAAGTTTGTTTCAGCTGCTCATTTTCCTCCATTAGTTGATGATTCTGATCAGTGAGTTCCTGAAGACGATCCTGGTGTTCTTGCGTCCTTGCTTCTTGCTCACGGATCTGCCTTTCTGCTTTACTTTGTAATTCGTCAACCTCAATTTTCTTGGATTCAATGAGTTGTTTCAGTTGGTTCTTAGTAAGCTCATTTTCATCTAGGAGTTTTTGTAAACGCTTCTCAAGAGCCTCCTTCTCAGATTCTCCTTCCCTGAGCCTTTGAATAGCCTCTTGCTTCTCTTTTCTAGTGAGATCAATAACTTGCCTCATATCTGCTATTTTACTACTGATATTCTCATAAGCCTGAAGAAGTGATTCATACTCCTGCTTTAACTCACTATGTTTAGCCTTCCATCCTGTTAATTCAACTGTCTGAGAATCTTTTAAGGTATTGAGTTGGAAAGAAAAGGCCTCTTTTTCCTGAACTATAGTCTCCATGGTGGATTTAAGACTTTCGCATGCCGCAGTGAGGTTTTCATTTTCAGTCAACAGTCTAGCATTTTCAGAAACGAGCCGCTCCTCTTCAGACAATGGAGAAACAGTACTTGAACTTTGTTTTTCTCTACCAAGTTCTAACAACTGTTCAAGCATACCTGTCTTGTTCACCAGTTCTTCTCTTTCCAACAGCAGCTTATCAATCTGGTCTTTTAGACATTTATTTTCTCTCAGGGCTTCTTTACGTGATATTAAAGCCGCCTGTAATTTTCTTTGAAGGCGCTCTCTGGACTTTTCTTCTGCTATAGTTCTTTGCTCTTCTGGTTTAGAATCATTTACACTTGATGTTTTTGACAGTGGCTCTTCAATCATTTGCATTTGTTCCTGGATTTGACATTCTGTTGCTTCTCTAGGTTTAGTTTTCCCGGAGTAATCAGTCTCTGATAGTTGAAAACAGGTGCCTTTATCTTGTAACTTTCCTTGAAAGGAATTACTTTCTGGACAAAACTCTCCCAGTACTTTTTCAGTATAATTTTCTTCCTTGAGCTCTCTGCATGACGCCACAGGTCTACTCATCTCAGCCTTCTCACGTAGCATACATAGCTCTGTCAGAAGTTTTTTGTTTTCTTCACTGAAATGTTTTACCTCCTTTTTCATATTAATTAGTTCCAAATCGGACTTTTCCAAACAACTGAGAAGTTTCTCTTTTTCATCCTTCATTTCTTCAAATGCTGTTTTGTAATGGTAGGCTTCTTCTTGGCCCTCCTTTATAGCTTCATTTAATAATTCTTTTTCCAGATCAAGTTTATCTTTGAGATCCGTAAGCGAACAACGCAACGCTTCTATTTCCTCGTCCTTTTCTGCAATCTCCTTCTTAGCTTCAGTTCTCAGTCTCTGCAGTTTCTCCTGGTTCATCTTGTAATCCTCTTCACTTTTTTTAATAAGTGCTTCTTTCTCATTATTTACGTGCTTAAGTGCTGTCTTAACATCTACAGCTTCAGCCTCATACGCCTTCAGCTTTTTCTGTAGGTGCTTTATGTCCTCCAACAAGCTGCCCATACATTGCTCCTGGTACTGCTCCTGCTGTCCCAAAGAGTCTAAGCTGACGGTTCTTTCTCTTTCATCAACAAATTCAACTGACATTTTCCTCAACTCTTTCTTTAACATTTCTGTTTCCTCCTGAAGTTTTGCGTAATTACTTCTTAGTTCTTTTAACTCAGTGTCTTGACTGGCCACTGATGTGATCACGTTTTCTGACTCTCTTAAGGATGCAACCTGAACCTTGCTCCTTGGTTTGTCTGATTCCAAATTCCTTTGGTCAGCT